GAGCCAAAATGTTAATCCTCGAATCCATAGGTCAATAACCTAGCGGATTAAAGCGTTATGAGTTCAGTTCATGGGTCAGGTAGTAAAGACTCATGTATAATCAGACCGAACAACTGAGCAGTATTGGAATATAACAAAAATGAAACAAACAAAAAAAAACAACAACAAATATCCCTAGACATGGACAGTGGAATGAGAACAATATGCACTCAGATTAAATAAATGTTTCAGTTTGAAATTCTTTGAAGGTTCCTCGCATCTACAGAGGAAACAACGATCGAAACCTTGTGATAATAACAACAAAGATGATGACATTCGTTCTACTTTCGATAATGTTAGGCTACGAAATTAATGATCCAAACCTGCATAAATATGTAAAGAAGAATTTTGCTTTTTTCTATAATGTTGCTTATTGGCACTGGCATTTCCTCTTTACCGTCCCTTGCATTCGGAGCACGTGATTTTTTTCATTTCTTTTTCTTTTATGGCCGTATTCTTTTCAATGCACCTGCTTGGTGGCCAAATACTAACACCATTTCTGGCCATATAAATAAAACAAAACAAAGATATAAGAAAGAAAACGTAAAATCTAGCGTTTTCTAAAACGAGCCTTTTGATTTCCTTTCGTCATGAACGGCTATCGCGTTTTCCATTATCAAAGCTAATACGAAAGTTACAATGAAATCCTTCTCGACAATACTGCATCCATTTATATCTCTAATGTAAATCATTACGAAAGAGTAATTTCTCATATTCGTTGCATTTGTAGAATAATAACAACAACAGCAAAAACAATAATCTGCTATTGGACGAATGAAATCGCCATCTTTTTTTTTCAAAATTGCCATAAAATCATGCGAGTAATATAATTCGATGATATTGCTTGATTCCTTTTAGATGATAGTTTTATATTGTTTTGTGTTCGAGTTTTGGCCAGGCTTTGATTTATTGCCTAACCGTCGTCTTTCTTGGGAGATTGTATTTAAAACGTTCGATTGTTTGTTTTCCAGGTTCGAACAACTGCTTACAGCCCAATCAGTCTACGAGGAAGAGAACTGCCTTCGTTCTGTGTGAACACAGAAAGATTATCTATGGTGCTAGCGGAAATCTCGAAGAAGTTGAAATCTGAGATTCTTGGGAGAACGAAGATATGAAAGATGATGTATGAAATGGCAGCAAGTTAAATGAGAAAATAGGGAATGGAATAAACACCGGGAAAAGAAGGCAAATGATTTGCTATGCATGAGGAGAATAGAAGCAAAAAAAAACGAGAGGGAAAAAAATGAGGAAAAATAAAGAGATGAAAATGAACAGGAAATAGAAAAAGTAATGTTAGATAGTGGCTGCGAGAAAAAAAGATGGAGAACAAGATATTATAAGAATATAGAGAGTGTGAGAAAAAATGATAAGAAAATGAAAATAGTAGAAGATAGAGACAATGATAAAAAAAGGGAAGAATAAAGAAGAAGGTAAAAATGATGATAAAAAATGAAAAGAAAGAAGAAAGAGGAACGTATAGTGAGAAAAAAGGAAAGGTAAAGGAAGTAGAATGTAGAGATAGTGAGAAACATGAAAAGGAAAGAAGGAAGAGATGGTGAGGAAAAAGAAAGAGAAGAAGAAACAAGAGATGGTAAGAAAAATAGTAACGGAAAGAGGAAGAAGTAGACAAAGGCGGTGTTCAAAACGAAGAATATAGTGACGGTAAAAATAATAGAGGGGAATAAGAAAGTAGAAATTGTGAGAAAAAAAGAAAAGGAAGAAGAATTTAAAAGATAGAGATGGTGAGACAAAACGAAAAGGAAGAAGAAAGAAGAAGGTAGAGTTGGTAAAAAAAAGAAGATGAAGAAGAAATTAGAAGATAGAGAAGTTGAGAAAATGGAAGATGAAAGAAGAATGTAGAAATTGGGAGTAAAAATGTGAAAAAAGAAATTAGAAGAAAACGAGGCAACTCTAAAAATTTCGTATAATGAGAAGGAGTAAAATTATTATGATTGGTCGAAAAAAATGAATAAAAATGACGGGTTAATTGTAAAAAAGAACAGCGAAGGAAAATAGAAGAAAATACGGGAATTATAATGAAGCGATAAAAAAGCAGAAAGCCAAGAATTACTGAAAAAGACGAAAATATGGAAGGGAGAAGTAGATAGAAAGTACGAATGAGAAATAAGAACTTGAAAGGAAAGGAAATAAAAGATAAATCTGAAGAAAAAAAAACAAAAGAACAAAGTGAAAATAAATAAAGCTAATACAATAAAGGAAACATTGTGTGAGATAATAAAACACAAGCGAAAATGTTGGACTTTGAAAGCAAATAAGCAGAACTGGATTAAAAGAAAAGTGAATCAGAGTAGAAAAAGTTGGACATTGAGAAAAAATCTGTAAAAGGGATAGAAAATTAATGGCAAAGCAGATTTTAAGAGAAGAAAAAAGACTTAAAGAAAAAGAAACCTCGAATAAAAAAGTAAAAAGAATAAAATAAAATATGAATGAAAAAGAACATTTTGAAAGAAGATGAAACAAAAATGGCTGAACGGAAGTAAATTTAGAAGAAAAGAGGAAAAAATATGGATTAGAAAAAATTGGAATAAAAAAAATAATGAAGAATATAAAATTTAAAATGAATGAGAAAGGAAATAACTCTAATAATAGAGATTCTAAATTGAAACATTGTCTTCTTAACTATTTGCATTCCTAGTTTGATTGTTTTCTTATTCGCTTGAATTTTTTTTATTTTGAATTTGAATTCTATCGGCCATTATTTGCTTTCTTTCTTTGTCTTTTCATTCCATTCCTCTTCATGTCTTTGTTTTACTTTTCTTTCTTGTGTAGGAGACAACATGCATGGCCGACTAGAATGAGTATATATATATTGTATACACACGCACATATATATATATATATATATATATATATATATATATATATATATATATATATATATATATATATATATATATATGTTGGGATATGAGTGTGAGCGTATGTGTGTGTACAAGTAGCGACACATTGCACAAAGATGCTGTCATTGAAAATTGATCTTTTGAATCTGATAACAAGTAGAAAAATGCATCTTGTCCCAAACAAATTAATGAGTAGAGAGTCAACTTCGCTAATTTACATAGGAATTTAATTAATGTCTTTATTTGGTCAATTTGTTCGACGCAAAGCAATTAATTACAGAGGCTGATGACAGAAATTTGTTCTCATTCCCTTGTTATTAATTGCAGATGCGCTATCAAAGAGGGACTCTCATAAATGTCGATATGTATTCTTTTATTTAGAGCAATCGCAGTTTTTCACAGTGTTTGGAATGAGACATCAGACGGACAATTTTATATATAGCGAATATAGAAAAGGAAATTTATTTCCTTCCGTTTGTGTGTGTGTGTAGGGGATATCTTTCCTAGTTTCAACACTTGAAAAACACACACAAACGGAAGGAAATAAATATATATATACATATCATAATAAATAGTTAATGCTTTTTAGTTAATCTCTACTCTGATTTATCTTTGTTTCATATATATATATATATATATATATATATATATATATATATATAAACCGAATAAAACGATACAAGAAACAAGAACAAAAATTATTCAAAGAATGCATTTAATACTCTCGGGGACTTTATCAAGGCAAAAGTTTGTTGCACGTGTTTATATACAAGAGCAATGATGTCATTGGTTTGTCAATGCATTTAAATTTGAGAACCTTTAAGAATATTCATCAGGTAGTTGAAAGATCTTTCAAGACCTGTGGACGACACAAAGTGGCATAATTCAAAATCTGGTATGACAAAAGTAAGCGAATAATACAAAATAGTGTATATGACGTCTCCCATTACAAAAGGAAACCAGCGCTCCAGCACGCACTTTGTAAGAGAAACCATTATTTGATCCGGTGATCTTTCTACCGTTAGGCCAGAGCGCATCACATTTCAGCAAGGTTCTGTGTTCCCTTTTAATGAATGCACACATACACTTGTTGGCAGTTTCTTGAAAGCTCGTATCCGCTTTGATTTCATGTCCAAAACCCACAGGAAGCAAAATCGTGTTAATGGTTGTACTTTTCAACCGAAAGTTTTATTATCTCAAACATTATTTTTAGTTGATAACCGTGTTTGAAATAGACACCGGATTTCCACTTGATATAATACCTAATGTTTAGGATGAAAAGAAGAATTGGCGTGTCTACACTAATATATATATATATATATATATATATATATATATATATATATATATATATATATATATATATATATATATATATATATATCAACTGCGTAAATCGAAGCTCTTCAGTAATATGAATAGAGCACTTTGCTTCGCGTTTGTTTACGTTTGTAATAACAATATGCTAGATTTGGCTGATCCGTTCGAATGCGTGTGTCGAATGAAGATGGCTAAGTGGTAGAAGCTCTGACTGACACCAAATCGGTTGGGTTTCGATCCGGGCATTCGGTTGTCTAGTCCCAGGAGCTGTGAAACAGTACTGTCTACGAATTATATATATATATATATATATATATATATATATATATATATATATATATATATATATATATATATCTGTGTGTGTGTGTGTGCGTCTATGGAATGTCTTCTGGATAAGACGACCTGAATCTGCGAAAAGAGAATCTGGCGTAGGATCTGATATCAGAAACAATCTTGTGTCACGACTGGAATTACTTCCAGTTGGTATTTCTGACTCTCGCTTCGCTTGCTTCTCGGATAGTTTCAAAATTAAATGGTGATATCCTAGATCATTGTTCGTGGTCGTGATCGCCACGACATAAACCTGAAGCGATCACTAGCAATCAGTCAATGTTGATCAGATGTTAAAATTGTTTTCTCACATACGGCAATGCATTTGAAGAAGCCTGTTCGAAACAATTGATCAAAACTGCCAAAGAAGTTAGATATAACAAAACTGAAAGACAGGGAAATATTAAACTCTTTCCAAACATTGTGTGACTCAAAACTTTCATTTCTTGATGTAGGTAATGATGTTGAGTTGACATGGTCTGCTTTACAAAACTGTATGACTCGGATATGTTCAGCGAAGATATCAAGATGGTTTGATTCAAAAGATCATGAAATTAAATCTCGCCTTAAAAAACATGCATAAATATCATCAGGTCTGGATAGTAGACAAAGCATGCCTATCAAAGAAACGGGCCTTTAATTCAGCCAATGGGAACGTCTCAAGCAACATTGAGAGAGATGAAGGAGGTGCTGGTGGACAGCAAAGGCTAAAGCTTTGCAGGAGGCTGCTGACAGATGTTACTTCAAATCATTCTACCAAAACTTGAAGGGTGTTTTGGGCCCCATTTCCAAAAGTCTATCACCATTATTTTTGTCAGATAACACTCTTTTGACAGACAAAAGTCTATCACCACTCTTTTTGTCAGATAACACTCTTTTGACAGTCAAAAGCCACATTATCAAACACTGGGCAGAACACTTCTCCACGGTCCTAAATCAGGATTCGTCTGTTGATGCTGAAGTAATAAACAATCTTCCTCAGAGACCTGTTGTACAAAGCTTTTCTGCTAACCCTTCAACTTTCGAGCTCAAAAAAGCCATCAAACAGCTTTCGAATGGAAAAGCCCACAGCGAAGATGGAATTCCAGCTGAAATATACAAATGTGGCACCAATCTTTTCATACGCAAAATTTGTGAATTTTTTTCAACATTGTGTGGGAAAAGGAAGAAATGTCACAGCAATATAGAGATGCTTCAATTGTCCATTTGTATAAGCGCAAAGGGAACGGGTGTGAATGTGACAACCAGAGAGGAATATCTCTTCTTTCGGTTTCTGGCAATATCCTTGCTCGTATCATCGTGAATAAGCGTAAAGAATTTGTCTTAGAATCGGCATTACCAGAGACCCAGTGCGGTTTTCGATCCGGTAGAGGAACCATAGATATGATCTTTTGTCTCCCTCAGGCTCAGGAGAAGGCGCAAGAACAAAACAAGGATCTATTTGTTGTTTTTGATATTTTTGGTGTAATTTGTTTATGTTTTTTAATCATCTTTTATAAACAGTAAATACGTGAACGGAACAAGACTTTCTAAATATATATGGGACATTAAACTCTTTCAGTTCACGCAATAACCGTCAGGACAATACAATATATTTTACAAACATATAATTATCCGGTGATCAGCATTCATAAATAGTCAAGACAAAACACATGTCCTGAAGATTGCGTTGAAGCGTTCAGACTGTCGCCGCTTCGTTTAGGTCTTAGAGTCCGCTTTTATATTTACATACGCTTTAGCACTGATATTGAGCAGTTTTAGGCATAAGTGTAGCATGACTTAAAACTACATTTTTTATCACACACACACACACACACAAACACACACACACATATATATATATGTAGATACAAGCAGTGAGAACAAAACAAACACTATTGCATAGCGAGACTCATGCTTCAATGTGATTCTTTAGTCTGAAGAAGCGTAAAGTCTTGGTCTGAAATCGCATTGGGGCGTGAAATCTAACAGTCACCATGTAGTGTTGAGTCTTATACACACAATAAATTTTAATATCTATCTATCTATCTATCTATCTATGACAGTTTTTTTTAATCTATCTATCTATCTATCTATATATCTATGACAGTTTTTTTATCTATCTATCTATCTATCTATCTATCTATCTATCTATCTATCTATCTATGGCAGTTTTTTATTATCTATCTATCTATCTATCTATGACAGTTTTTTTTATCTATCTATCTATCTATCTATCTATCTATCTATCTATCTATCTATCTATCTATGTCATATAAATACAGGCGTACATTTCTATTGGGGAAATTCCAAGAAGCCTTAAGTTGTAATTTAAGAGATTATAATCAGCAAACGTAAGATAGGATCAGAAAGATAATTTTTTGAAGAAAAATACGATCCTTTTATTATTGAAACAAATTTATAAAAATAAGATTAATGTGGAAAATATATTTTATGTTCTAAATCAATGTTTTACAAATCTTTATCCATTGATTCAGACACAGTTGAATTTTTTTTTACATGTAACAGGTTGCATGGCAACCAGAATACAATTCCCAAAGTTATCTTTCCTGGTAAATTACCTTTAGCAGATGTAGTTCTTCGTTTTTAGAATGTATAATAAGTTTTCAACCGGATGTGTTATGTTCCGACTAACAAACTAGTAACTTCTCCAAACGAATGTGTTTAAGACTCGATTTGGTTTATTTTGTTTTACGGCATATCAACACCTCAATGGGTTATTTTATAACAACAAGATTCTTAGTATAGATTCATATGAATAGAATATAAATTCATTGTGAGAAGACAGTTTGTAGGTCAGGCTTAATTGACGTATTTTTGGAAAGAGGGTTTTTGTCGACATTCAGATATATTACTAATAATGTTCCTTTTTTCAAAAATGTATTGCTGGTAATATTTTTTTTCAAAATTTCTATAATTTCATAGTGTATTGACCCCGGATTGAGAA